AATGAGAAACGATTTAAGCGACTTTATTCCTGTTGCGAGTATTGTCCCTGGCGGGACCCCTACGGACAGGGCACTTTTGCCGCAAAGTCGCAGGTCTGGAGCTCCTCGTTGAAGAGCGTGCCCGGCCCGCACGTGTACCGGTAGACGTGCAGCGGCTGGCCCGGGTAGAAGCAGAAGTAGAAGTCCTTGCAGTTGGCGTCGCGCTGGAACGAGTTAGTGACGGTGCACACGTCGCCGCTCTGCAGAGGAAAACACAGCGGTTGAGAGAGCGGGTGCGGTTGTGTGTCGCCTCGAGCGAGTACTTAATTAGCTGCGCTGTCGATATATACACATGGGTGCACTCGAGACTCGAGGTGTACCCCTTACCGGCGGCCGCGGGGTCGTAGGGGGTGTTGCAGTGGGTGTGTCGGTGCGTGCTGAGGCTGGGGACGTAGGCGCGGCGGTGGGGGGAACCGGGGTGGAGGAAGCAATGGGTTCATGGGTGGGTGCAGCAGTGGGTGCAGCAGTGGGTGCAGCAGTGGGTGCAGCAGTGGGTGCAGCAGTGGGTGCAGGGGTGGGTGCAGCAGTAGGTGCAGGGGTGGGTGCAGCAGTAGGTGCAGGGGTGGGTGCAGCAGTGGTTACAGGAGCTGCTGTGGGGACGGCACCGTTGTGCAGCGTGCTGTAGATGGCCCGGAGCAGCGGGAAGCGCCCGCCCGAGGTGGAGCAGTCGTTGCGGAAGTCGTCCGTCTCGAGCGACCACACCATCACGCCGGCCAGCCCCTGGTCGACGGCGAGCTGGGCCTGTGGGCACCGAGACACCGTACGGACGGACAGTAAGACTCGGAGCACGGAGTTGTTTGAAAATGACGCGCGGTTAGTGGCACCGACCTTCAGTTTCAGCGAGCGCACGTTGTCGTAGGAGACCCACTGGTTGCCCTCCACGGCGTACGGGACCAGCCGCTGCGAGTCCCACTTCTCCTTGTAGAGCCCCGCATCCTGCTGGACGCACACCTACGAGCCGATGGACCGTACCGAAGGGTAAAACGCTGCCCCGTTTCGTAATCGCATGGACTTACTGAGGGTTGACCCGCGAGCTCCTCACCTCGTTGTAGCCGATGGTGCCGCCCTCCCTGGTGTAGGGACCGGCCTGGCCGGGGCCGTTGGTGGGCGCGTACACGCCCGCGTTGGAGGCGTCACGGAGCGTCCACGTGTGCCCGTAGAACGGCACGCCCAGCACCACCTTGGACGGGTCGGCCCCTCGGTCCAGCCACAGTTTGAGCGCCGACTCCTGGGCGTCGCGTGAATCAGGACAGAACACACACACTCTCCCTCCCCCTCCTTCTCTCCTCCTCCTTCTCTGCCGCAACCACGATGCGAATCGCATTCTTTCAAATAATTGGATCGATGGGTGCGCAGGGCGTGGCGCGGTGCGGTCCGCATTCAGTGAGAGTGCTCCCCGGACATCAACTTAATTCAATAGAACATCAACTTGTCCTTTGGAGCGCGGCCAACCACACTTGTCGCCAGGGGAGCTCGTCCCCGCCGTCCCCCGCGCCGCCACGCCCCCGCCAACCCCACGCACCGCCACGCCTCCCTGCCATACGCACCACGTTGAGATTCTTGTTGTCGGGGTCGTACTTCTCCTCCTTGGTTGCCTTCAGCGCCGCGTTCATGCCCGTCACCGAGTCCCAGGAGCCGTGCAGGTCGTACACCATGAGGTTGACCAGGTCCAGCTGCTGGACCACCGGCTCCACGTCGTAGCCGGCCTCGATCTTGTCCAGCCCGACGGAGACGGCCGCCGTGAGCAGCAGCCCGTTGGGCTCCAGTTGTGCGCGCAGCTCGCGCAGCAGCTCCACGAAGCCAGCCTGCAGGACGGTGCGCTTAGCGGAACTCTGGTGCCTCCAAACTTTTTTCTCATTCTTCTTTGGCATTCTTAGTCAGACTCTACCGCACCGCATGCGCGCGTGCCGGTGGGTTGCCTACCCACTAGAACCAAGGCGTCGTGGTCGGAAGCGGAAGGCTCGCGTGAGCGGTACAGTCTGACTAAGAATGAGAGGATGGGGCTAGGCGGTTCAGCACCCTGGTTGGTATCCCTCCACACCGCACCTTGTCAGAGCTGGCACCACCGCGCAGGGCGGGGTACTCCCAATCGACGTCAAAGCCATCAAAGCCGTACTGAGTCACGAACTTGAGTACGTTTTTGGCGAATGTCTTGCGGAGCTGGTCGCTGTTGGCCACCTGGTGTGCGAAAACGGGCGCTAGTTTAACTCTGCGTCAAGACTTCTAAATGTTTGTTATTTGGGAGAGTGTGTAAGGATGCTGAGACCATACCGTAGAGAAGGAATAGGAGCCCTGGTTCCATCCGCCAACGCTGATGAGCACCTTGAGGTCGGGGTTCTTCTTCTTGAGGGCGAGGAAGCGGTTGTAGCCATCTGTGCAAAGAAAACCAATGTCGTCGCCGTCAACGTCACACTCTCGTCGGTTCGGACCGCGGCACACCGACCACATCCATCCATACTCACCGAGGTTGGGCGGGGGCAGGTCGAGCCACGAGTCCAGGACGCTTACGTCGCCCTGGCCGGTGATGCCGACGAAGGCGTACACCAGGTGGGTGCACAGCGTGGGGTCGATGTCTTCTGGGGTGAACTTGCCGTTGCCCGGGCGGTAGTAGGCCCACGTGCCCACGTAGCAGACCAGGACGGGACCTGCGGGCAGAACCAGGCGCACCCGGTATCCACGCGGGATTAGTCACAGCCAGGGATTCCTCTCCCAAGTAACTCGAAGTGGTCGGGAATTCGTCACGTTGACGAATTCCTGACAAAAACGTCGCGAGACTTGGACTTGTTCCGTCCAAAATGTGCCATTAGGGCGTCAGTATAATGTGAAAGACTTAAATGTGACTTATTTGTGACTTGCGTTGCGTCGCGTGCGTTTCCAGTCCATGTAAGTTAACATCGAATCGAAAGTCGGTAGAGAAAGCCCTTCGCTCCGACCCGAAAAACACGACCATGGTTTCTGGGTGCAGGGCACGGGGAGAGCCATCGGCCATCCTCTCTTAGACATTCTACCCCCGGGTGGGCGGGTCTCTGCCGGCCCCTGGACGTCGCCGATGTCGACCCCACTTACACCGCCGCGCTGGGAAGGGAGACCGGACAGCCCACTGCGCCGCACCGCCTGGCCCCGCCACGCCCCCTGGGTGCGCAGTGGCGCCGGGCTCCAGACACTCGTTGACGACAAGCCAAGGCCTTCTAGGCCCGGAGGTCGGACAGGGCACGGCCAGGGCCAGCAGGGACTCACCGTCATTGCCTTTAACGGCGACCTCCGCCGTCCCGACGGAGCTCAAGGTGGCCACCGTGGCGGCCAGAGCGACCAGAACGGCCTCCAAGTTTCTCATGATGGCCCTGCCCTTAGCTGTCCTGCGGTGGGTCCGGTGGCTCTGCCAATCTCGAGTGCAGGACGGGTTCCTCGCGGGCCAGGCGGGGGCAGGTGAGGTGCTCGACTAACGGCCGCCCCCTGCAGGGGCCTTGCCAGTCCGTGATCAGGGCTCAAGCTCCCTCCCCCCGCCACTGATAAGATGGCGCGCCCACGTGCTTTGCGGACCGCGGCGAATTCCCCCCCGTGTTGTGTAAAAACAGAGTCGGCAACGGCGCAGAACGTTTCAAATGGTTTAATGGAGTCCGCTCGAACTTTGCTTATCTTCTCTAGAAAAGTAATTGTATTTTGCTGAAGAGAGTAAGCAAGATTGACAGCAAAGACGAGAGGGCCGGGCCGGGCCGGGGCGTGGAGGAAAACGAACAGGGCGTCTGAAGGATTTCTCGCCTCCTGTTTCCACGTACCTACGAGGAGCTAAGCGACGAGCCCACTCAGCGAGGCCACGCCGCGCTGAATCAACGCTTCCAGGTACAAGTCGCAAAAAACAGTACCGAGTAGTGTTTGCAGAGATCGCTTTATTTTGTATGTCGATTCAACAAAGACACTACAACATGCATATCATAGTAACACAATCTTACAGCATTGTAAACCACTCTCACCAAAGTGCCGAATAAAATTTAGAACACAACGTGACGGTGTGTACAAATTGTGCTAACGTCCACAGTGGAAAATATTTGAATTAATGATGCTTATTAAACACATTGAAAGTTGAGTGGAAGAACAAATGATTGACAATTGTTTTTAAGCTAAAGACATGTGGTGCAGCCCTGTTCACTAAAATTCTAAAGAATAAGAGAGAGAAAAGAACAATGCCAACTGGGAATTAATATTATGGGGTAGCCAGGACCCCTGGACAGTTTCTAGTTATATTGTGCAGCATGCAAGCGGGCGAGCGGGGTGGCCTACAACGGCGTCTCAAGACCCCGAGTGACGCGCCCACGTGGATGCACAGCTACAAAATGTTCAAGGGTTCGTAGACCACCTTGTACTACAGAGATCCTCTAGACAGACATATCACAGTCTTTCAATAAGTAGCAGCTCGTTTGCCATTTGGGTTAAATATGAGCATGAGTCTCAAGACAAAATAAAATATTTAAAAATGCTAGTTTGGCATACACGCTTGACACAATAGATACATTTCAGTATTAACTCAACGAAAGGGTGCAGTAGCTATCTAAAGTCATTACAAATTAGGTAAACACAATTATCACAGCACTGCAAATATGACTGATACTCCCTCAGCAACTTTCAGACACAAAAATAATGGTTTGAAGATCAGAACAAAAATCTTTTCCAAATGTTGAAGAATATTCAGTTGATTCAACATCCTAACCACAACAAAAATTGAGGAGATGTGCAGGAGTGGGGTATCTCACGCTAAAAGTTAATTAAATAAAGAGGAAAAGAAAGTACAAAGCCGTATTATCTATGAAGTTCCATTGTGAATAGTACACTGCCACTCCGGAAGCCCACATTCACAGTTTTTGTTGGCTGCTGTAATTCGAAAAACTGTTACTACAGAGCCATTGTCAGCAAACCGACAACTGACATGAAGACCTGCAATAAGAAATGTGTAGAACTGGTTATTCCAGCGCTGTCTTAAATACACTGAACGGGGATCTTCTTGCAGAACACTCTGAATTGCTATCCGAGCCTCCTCAACACTCTCACCACGTTCAGACTGAATAGTGGTAAGCTGCGCAACAGCACCTTCATTGAACTTCACCTCCAGTCTAGAGACCGGAGGGTCTGCAATCCATGCAGGGACCCTTACCTATGTGACAAAAAAAACAACAACATAAATATTGGGAACATGATCTGCTTTTCTTAGATACAATAGTTTGGCCTGCAATGCTGTTTAAGACAACTCACCAGAGCCTGAGGCCTCATATTGCCTGAGGAAGGTCCTGGGGACAGTGCTGGAGACACTAAGGGTCTTCCGAGGATAGGAGAAGTTCCCTCTTCACCGTCAGGAGCTTCTCTAAGACCCATGAGTGAGGAGTCTCTGACGGGAGAATGAGAGACCATCATCAAAGCATCTCTTACAGGTGACCTGGCCACAGGTGCTAAGGAGTCACGACGAGGTGTGAGGTCAAGAGAAAGTATTCCAGGTGATAAATCTTCATCATCTGATTCACGGCCATCAGTTATGAGGCGGGTCTCCATATTGTCACTGAAATATAACGGTGTAAAAAACAAAACAAAAAAAACAACAACATATTAACAAATGACAAATGGAAAATTTTAACTCAAATAAATTTTAAATGTTTTACCTTAACAACGGATGTTGGCAGTCAAGAGGATCATCATACTGTGGTATATATGGCTTAATATCAAGAACAGGAGTTCCATCCACCATATCCACACCAGAGAAAAATATCATATTCCCTGAAAGATTTACTCAGTCATAATACCTTCCTTAGGTAAATTTGAAAACATCTCATACCTTAAGTTTCCTCACTCACCTTCCACTTTATCAATCTGAACCAGTGACAGTCCTACTGGACAGGGTCGATGGGGTGATCGTGTGGCAAATACACCCATTCTGCCTCCATTTAGCCTTGGGGGTGCTACTTTTGCTCTGACATGTGTTGAATCATTCTTGTGAAAATGAAAAACAATCCTAAATACAACAAATATAAA